TTAAATGAAATTAAATAATTATATAATAATTTATATGGACTGGTACATATCTGATTTGAATTATATTGGATTTGATCTGAATCCGATTTGAATCTGATCAGATTTGATCTGAATCCGATTTGAATATAATAATTTTGTAAATTTAAAATTTGATTCGATCCGAATCTGATCAGATTAAAAATTTTGAAATTTGATTCGATCCGAATCTGATCGGATTAAAATTTTAAAATTTGATTTGATCCAATTTATATCCGATTCACGAATCAATCGGATTCAGATTAAAATTGTGAACACTAGCCTTAACACTTTCGAAAAGTAATAAGAGAGAGGAGAATACAATCTATATGATGTTAATCCACTCACATATCTAGTATATGACTTATAATGGACCTAAGATTCTTATGGAGCTTAAGAAATGTATTCACATTATATGTCACATGTATCTTTGTTTATATTTCGACTAATTATGAATCAATCAATCCCAATCTTTAGTCAATTAATCTATCCAAAATCTGGTGTAATAGAAAATTCAGGATCAAGCTAGAATAGGTAAAATTTCTTAGAAAAATCAAGAAAAACTGTTATATACTAAAAGAAAAGTTGTTTCTGCCTGTGGTAATAATGTTAGTTATCCAGGCTAACATGGAATTGTTGACTCACATTTCTTTTTAATCTTTGAAACCTCTATAGGGAAAAGAAAAAGAGTATTTTTTCATCTGATTTTTTTTTTCTAGAAAAGCTTTCTTATCATTAACTTCTTAAATAAAGGATTTTTGAAAAAAAAAAGTAAACAAGAAGAGTAGAATATGACTACTGCTAAATGAACCAAGTGTTTTTAAAAAAAGTTTTGAAGTTTTATTACTCTCAAAATATAAAGTTTTGAAAGAACACTTCTTTGAAAGTGGTGATCAAGAATCTATAGGAAAGAGTTTTTTTTTGTTAATATAGAACCAATATTATACTAGTAAAATTGATTTGTTATAAATATATTGATAATAAATTCAAAAATATATAGGTCACAAAAATATAAATAAAATATATAAGAATAAAAAAATTTATGTTAATATAATTCAACCTATACCAAGTTGACTTTGCAAGAAGTCCCGAGGACATTAATAAGTTCAATCTCTCAATTTTTGCAAAAAAAAAAATCAACACAATTTTGTTTAATAAATATATTAATATTTTTCAATAATATCGTTTTTTGAATTGAATTAGACTAATAGTTTAATAAATTAAATACATAGCTATAATTAAAAGTTTAAAAACTATTATATACAGTAGCTATTTTTCAAATTCCATATACGTATGTTGGTTAACCAATAAATTGCCGAGACATAGAAATAATTGCAGAACACATCTTTAGATTAGATGGAAGGTTATTACTATACACATCGACGGAATTTAGAAAAAGCAGTATTTGTTAAAAGGTGACGCGCCTAGTTCAACGTAGTTTACATGGAGAAAAGCGATACTCAAGTGACGTTTCCAACAGGGTTTGTTAAGAAAGCTGACATAAAGGCACCGGAGGTAAGTTAAAAAGATACAATTTATGATCGATTTCACGCTACTTACGAAACGATCTTAAAGGTCCGCCACGAAGTAGCCCACGGAATACTTCCCTACGATTTTTCAAAATCCATCGAACGGACGGGTGAGCCTGCTAGAACTTATCCATTCACTTTAGACCCTTTTCAAGAGAAGGCTATTGCTTGTATCGAACGAGGCGAGTCTGTTTTGATTAGTGCTCACACCTCGGCTGGTAAGACGGTTGTCGCGGAATATGCTATTGCCCTGAGTTTAAGAAACAAACAAAGGGTTATTTATACGAGTCCAATCAAGGTAGTTATTGGTTATAATCTAAATTTGATCGAAATGTTAATTCCATTGCTTTAATATTTGCAACATTATTTCAGGCTTTAAGCAATCAAAAGTACAGAGAGTTGCAATACGAGTTCAAAGATGTTGGCTTAATGACTGGTGACGTGACCCTTAATTCAAGTTCCAGTTGTCTGGTGATGACCACTGAGGTCGGCATTTTATTCACTGAAACGAAGCGTGTTATGCGAGTTTAAAGTCGACTAAATATATTTTAGATTTTACGTAGCATGTTATATCGTGGTAGTGAAGTTCTACGTGAAGTCGCTTGGGTTATATTTGATGAAATTCATTATATGCGGGATAAAGGTAAACGAGCAACCATTTCCTGCCTTTTTGTAAATTCGTCAATTTATATGTTAAGTTTTTATTAATATAGTACGCGGTGTTGTTTGGGAGGAAACTATTATTTTACTGCCTCATAACGTGCACTTTGTTTTTTTGTCGGCCACAATCCCAAATGCACTTGAATTCGCAGAGTGGATATGTAACATTCACCAACAGGTAAATTATTATCTGCATGAGATGTGTCGTTAGTATTCTCATCAACTAACAAAATTATTTTGCGAAGCCTTGTCATGTGGTATACACTGAATTTCGTCCTACACCTTTACAACATTATCTTTTCCCCGATGGTGCGGATGGCATATATCTTGTAATCGATGAAAATTGTCGTTTTCGCGAAGATAACTTTCAAAAAGCAGTAGCCATATTGGAAAATAAACAGGAAAAATCGATGTTTAACGGACGTAATAAAAAAAGTAAGTCTCGATTATTTAAAAAATTATTTTCAATTGTTACGAAAATAAATTCTAAAATTCCAACCTTTACACCTAAAGATCAGTCGGAACAAACTAACGTGTTTAAACTCATAAAAACCTTAATGGTGAAGAATCTTAATCCCGTTATTGCATTCGCTTTTTCAAAAATGCAATGCGAGAATTTAGCAAGGCAAATGAGCGTTATGGATTTCAACAACGGTGTGCTCAATTGCTATTGAATAACTCGACTTTATATCGCGGGAACTAATTTCGTTTTACACATTTTTAGATGAGGAAAAGGAACTGATAAAAAAGGTGGTGGATAATGCCATCGACTTGTTGGCAGAGGAAGATCGTGATTTACCATGGTTTCACAACCTTTTACCACTGCTACAACGTGGCATCGGTGTGCATCATTCAGGTTTAATACCTTTCATGAAGGAAATCGTAGAGCTTTTGTTCCAGGAGGGTTTAATAAAAGTGTTGTTTGCTACTGAAACATTTGCGATGGGGTTAAACATGCCTGCAAAGACAGTAGTATTCTGCGAGATTTCTAAGTTTGACGGTATAAAATCAAGAAATGTAAGTCTGGTGATGAACTTATTACTAGCGAATAGTGTTTCATAAATTATCTAATTATCTAACATTTATGAGAGATAGATAACTTCTGGTGAATATATCCAAATGTCGGGTCGTGCTGGTCGTAGAGGGCTTGATGCGCGTGGTTTTGTCGTGATGAGTGTAGATCATAGTATTGATCCTAAAGGCCTGCAGGAAATATTTAAGGTAATTTCTCTGCCCTCGTCTCATTCTTTTTTATGCCTCCTAACATCCAAACACATACATAATCACACATCCTAATAGGGCGAGGCTGATCATTTAATTTCAGCTTTTCATCTAAAATATCATATGGTTCTCAACATGTCTAGAATCGAAGGTATAAGCCCTGAACACATGTTGGAGCAAAGCTTCTATCAGTTTCAGAACGCTGCCCCTATACCACGCTTAAAAGAAGGTAATGTATGTTGTTAAAATGATAATTCATCATTTGTATTTAAGATGCGAGTAAAATGGTTCTTTATTTCAGAGTTATCAAAGTTGAATAAGGAATTTTCGCAGATTGATATACCTGATGAGGAAGTAGTTGCTTTATATCATAATCTTAAAATACTTTATGATGATTATGATAACCGCCTAAGAGAAATCATATTTGAGCCTCAAAATTGTTTAAGTTATGTGCAATTTGGGCGAGTGGTCAGAGTTAAAATCGACAACGTGGATTTCGGATGGGGTATGGTGGTACGCTATGAAGAAAGAAAGGTATATTACATTAAAAAAAAATTTTTTTTTTCTTTATTTTTCACAGAATTTTTAACACCTTTCATTTATTCAAAGAATCGCCGAACACTTACAGCCGCAGACAACGCATTATCCCATCCCAAACATAGACAGAATGAGGAAGTAAAATTTATTGTTAGAGTGTTGTTAAAAGTTTCGGCGGATTCGTATACCAGCTATGACGGAAGGGAGGTTGATGTTAGACCTTGTCTACCGGATCAACCAGGAATTTGTTTGGTAAATTTCAGTGACCTTGCATTGCGTTTTTATTTTTAACGCGTTCATCCTATTTTACTTATTAATTCGCCGTTGAAGGTTACACCGGTGGAGCTAAAGGATTTACAAGTCTTAAGCCAATATAGGTTTTATCCGAGTGACGATTTGGAACACGATGTCACTCAAAGACAAGTAACATATAAAGGTGTTCAGGATCTCATTAAACAAAATCCTGACGGTAAACCTTTGGATCCTATAGAACACATGAAGATCAAAGATGAAAGGCTAGAGGATTTAATTCGAGTAAGTTTTGATTCGCCTTCATATTCTTGCTAAAATCTTATCTCACACTGTTATCTGCTTTATTAATTAGAAATTGGAAGTGATCAAATCTCAACTTAAGCGAAATCCGACTGCCAACAATCCCACAATCTATGAACGTTACCTCAAGAAACTCACAGTAAAAGAAAATATTTTAGATGTTCAGAAAAAGCTCCGGAATTCTGAATTAATCTTGCATCTTGATGAACTGAAAAAACGAAAGCGCTTACTTCGTAGACTAGGATATTTGTCCAAAAGTGATGTGGTCGAATTCAAAGGACGTGTCGCATGTGAAATTACGTCGGGTGATGAATTGGTACTGACAGAGTTGCTCTTGAATGGGATTTTCAATGATCTTTCTTCCGAAAAGACTGCCGCTTTGCTAAGCTGTTTCGTTGGTGACGAGTCTTCGGCTACACAAAAAGAACAACCTTCTGCTCCTCTCTCTGAAGAATACGCTGTGCTTTTTCGACAAGTTCAAACGACCGCTCGAAATATAGCCGATTTGACTGAAGAATGTAATATTCCTATTGATAAAGATGTATATCTTTCAGGATTTTCTGCAGATCTGATGGATGGAGTATTTCATTGGTGTAAGGTTAGTTATACGTTAATGTTGGGTTTCTTTATGGCTCTCCTTGACTCACACAATTGTACTATAGAATGCAACTTTTAAGGAAACTTGTGCCCGTATAAATATGTTTGAGGGCAATATTGTAAGAAATTTTAGGAGCCTTGACGAATTAATACGGGCAATGGTTTCGGCGGCAAAAATAATCGGCACATATGAATTAGAATGCAAGTTTTCCGAGTCGCGAGAAAAGCTTAGACGTGGAATAATTTTTGCTGCATCGTTATATCTCTAAGTTGTACGAATTCTTTGGTACCGTTATGATTACATAGGATTCGCGAAAGATACAGTTCGCATGATGTTAGGTTCTTGGATTTCGGTCTGTGAGCTTCTTAATGTTGTAGATTATGTTTAAAAATAAAGTCTTCACAAATTTTTGCTACTTATTTTAGTTTTATTCACCATGAATCAATATCTCATCAAATTATGAATATAATCGCAAATAAATCAGCATGATAAGAATTAATATGTAATAATAATTTTGATAATTTGTATATAGTAGCACTTTCTTAAAAAAAATTTTTTTTTTTTTTAATTTTGAATTTAAAATTAATCTATTTGCAATTATATTGTCATAACATATTTTTTATTAAGATATTAAATAATTATCTATAATATTATAGAACTTTTATTTTTTATTTATTTTTTATTTTTTTTTTTATCCACAATTATACTATTATGGTATGTATTTATTAAGATACTTAAAAATATCAATATTTTACAAACTATCACAAAATGACTAACTCGTCATTGTACATTATTAGTTGAAGGACTATACTATTTAAAAAATATAAAGAGTTCACTAAGCTAGTTTGGATTAAACAAAATTAAGTATTAACTAGATACTTTAAATCAGATTTATGAAACAATATTATACTTTCCCAGTAGTTTGGTGATGATCTCTAACTACTGGAATTATTGTTAACAGTTTATTATTGTTGATTATTTCAAAAAATAATAAATTACTAAAGTAACTGAAAAAAGAAGAATAATGGAAATGATTCAAAGTATTTTTAAAAATTTTTTTAGTTCATTTAGTAGTTTTTTATCAAAAAAGATTTGCTTAATTGAAATATTCTTTATATTTTGTTTAAGCTTCAGAAGGGATTTCTTCTTTACTATTACTTGTAATATTATGAATAGATCTATTATTTAAGCAAGTATCAGATTGAAATATTTCAAAAAAAATTGAAGATTTTTCTTAAAAGAATTTTTTTATCACTTGAAGAACTTAGATAAGAAAAGAAGTTTAATTAATTATATTGCCTCTTGCAATATCTTTTGATGTCATAATCATCTACTAGAGACCTTACTCAGTTAGAGATGAAAATCTTTTAAAACTTTCTTTTCATATTATTATTGACATTATCAGTTTATATAATTATGATAATAGAAGCTTGTTTATTTTTCTAATAACTAATGTATTTTATGTTCATCAATTATCTTTAGTAAGAATTTATATGATTTAAAATTTAGAGTCAAACTGAGATAAACAAAATTCTTTAAAAAATCATGAAAGTGGAAGCTCTAAGAGGATCAAGATAGTTTAAATAGGAAAAAATAAGTCTTTTAATTATAACAAATCTTTATAAATCTCTTGTTTCAAAAATTAGAAAAGTCTTCAGATATTTTACAATTTATTTTTCTTTTTTTAAAAACTTTTTTGTCATTGGTTAATGATCACAATAGATTGAATCAGATCAGATTTTAACTAGATTCGATTCAATCTGATTTTTATAAACATAAATTGGATATAAACTTGATTCATTTTAAACTGATCCAATTTAATTCAAAACCATAACAGTTTAATTTGATTCGATCTGATCTAAATCCAAATCTAAATCTGATTCAGATTCCATATAAAAATAATTTAAAACTGATTTGGTATGTTTTGAATCTGTTTCAAAGCATGTTCAATTATAACTGCTTTGATTTAACTAAATTAAATTAAATATATTTAAATTAACCTGACTTTATTTTAATAAAAAAATTTTTAACTAATATATTTCCTTTCAAAAATATTTTTTAACTTTAAATTTAAAAAATTTTTTTTTTTAACCCACAGTCAGGTCAGCATGGCTTGTCTTTATTGTATATATATCAGATATTTATAAATTATTTTGACTTTTACATACTAACTCACCTATTGTCAAAAAACTATTTCTCTAGATGCAACTTAGAAAATAATATTTCGCTACTTTATTGACTTGGATAAATTCTCTAGTCAATAAAATCATTGCCTATAGGTCATTACTACAGATCATTCTAAATTCTAACTGCAATTAAAAATCAAACTATTTCCTTCCATAACAAATCCAATCCTTGATTATTTCTATATACTTCGTTTCCTTCTTTCTTTTAGAGACTTCTTGTTCCGGATCTTCTGCAAGTGTGGATTCTTCTTCCTGTTCTTGTATATCCTGTATGATGAATTGGTATCCATGTCTTTTAATTCGTTTGTCCTTTTTAGTAATATTCTACTTCTTTTTCCACTCTATAACTTTTTTGCAATAGCTATTTTATATGTCTTTCTTGAAATTTTTCCTTATTTTATAACAAAGCTTGCCGATTATGCTTTGTGTAGCTGTTGGGGAATTTTGAGTTGTACTTTGAGGTAATTCTTCAAGGAAGTGGTTTTGTTCTCTTCTATGTATCCACAAATAGTATTGAAAAGGTTTTTATCAGATTGTTGAATCTCATTTAACCATTTACTTGTCCAGTTATTGATTGTAGGATAGACTTCTTCTTTGTTTTTTATTTCTTTACTAATATATTGATTGATCTTTTCTTTTGTTTTTCTTCATATATCCTCTCTGATTTCTTTAATGGCTGAACATTCGAACAAGTGTCCTAAAATTTCTTCTCGAAGTTCATATATTGAATATATTATTATGATATAAATATCTGATTTTCTTTTCTTCAATATTTGTAATACTGAGAGTTCATTATGGATTAGGTTAGTTAGAAAGCTTTTGTCTTTATTATCTTTGAAAGAGGTATCGAAGGTGTTGAATGGATTGAACTAATTCCAGAAGGTCAACCAGTCTATGATTTTGTCATTTTGAATTCATAGTTCTTGGATCCTTTTCTGTGTTATCCAATCTTTTCCTATTTTTTTCTTATTAAATGTCTTGACAAATTCTTTAATACTGATGTCTATTGTATGCTCTCTCTATATGGCTGTTGTCAGAACTGTTCCTAATTCTAGTAGTTGGTGCCAGATTATTGGATTTTCACGTCTAGCTTGTTTGGCAAACAGATCTACTTGATTATTGAACTTATTGATTCTATGGGCTTTAACCTTTATAATTTCCAAGGTAAGATTTTTCTTTTTAACTAAATTTTTGATTTTACTTCATAATAGCCAATTAGTAGTCTTTGTCCATCTTCTTGTTGATATCTCTGCTTGTACACTGATGAACTTTCATATCTTAACTGCAGTATTACAATCAGAGAATATTGAGATTGTTGTATTTCGAGGAGCTGTATATATTGTAGTTAAAATAGCCAATATTTCTGCCCTGATTGTTGATGGCCATATTGATACCCCTGCTAAGAATTGCTTCATAACTTTATTGTCTTCTACTAGAACCCAAGCCAATCCCATTTCAAGCTCACTATTTTTTGTCCCTTTTTTATATGATCTATTAGTGTAGAAAGTAAACTGAGTAGCTATACTCCTTTTATTATAATTCAGGATATCTATAAGTTCATATATATGTTCATTTGATTGGATAGCTTGTCTTATTATCATGGCTTCCCAGTTTTCTATTTGGATTTTCACTTCTGATCTAAACATTAGTGAAATTCTTATTTGTTGCCTTGTAGCTATAAGCCAATTTGTAGGGTTGCCAGGTAGAAGGACTTGTTTTTCTTTTCTCAAATTTTTATGTTTATTTAGCTGTGGAATTAGACAGACTTGTGATATACCTACTTCTTTTACTTGGAATAATCTATTTGATTGGAGTAGAGTATGATTACTAATAGAATTGTATGTTAACTGGTATGGAACAAATTGAATTTTGTTGTTCAAGAATGATGTCTTTTCCAATCTGTCCATTGGAGAGTTAGAGCAGGCTGTCCAATATATTTTCCTTCTATCTGGATAAGCTGGGAAAGCTTCAGTTTGGAGATTGTAGCCTGTCCAGTCTAGTTCGTGCAATAACTTTTTTAGCAGGTCATGATTCTCTATCACCTTTTCTCAAATCTTTTTATATCAAAAGGGAATTGAACCTTTGTATTTGTTAAAAAGAATCTGGATTATTTTCTATTCCTTGAGCATCATCATAGTTGAATTGATGATTTGATCTAGAAACATGATTTTGTGCTTATGGAGTGATGAAATGGCTTTCTCATATTCTCTACTATTCTGCAGTATTGACTTAATAGATAAGATACCTCCCTAATAATTATAGGTTTCCTTCTATCTTCAACTTTGAAAGTTAATTTGTAATTTTTGACCAGAACCAATGTTGCAGCTGCCAGATTTTCTTTGGTCATCTTATATGAGTTCACAGAATTATCTAAGATATTTCCAGGTTCTCAGCTTTAAATTTGACTCTGTTTCAATTGGATTATAGTGGCCAAACCAGAGGCATCACTGTTGTTGAGCTGACAGAATAGTGCTGATATATGGCTTTTCAACTATATTTCCCAGATACTTTTGAAACCATATATCTGTTTGTTATTTATGCAACTATTTGATATTATTCCACAGATTAATGCTTTGTTCTTGAAAACCTTTCTGAATATGGTTGTGAGTTCATAACATGTCTTCTTATTCAGGTGTGTATATTACATTCTATATTCTATTCTAGGAATCAGTACTCTATTGATAACATAATGAGCATGTTTTTCTGTCAACTTTTTCTTAGATGTTGCCTGAATTACCATCCTAATTTTTGATTTTATTAGATCAATTATATCCTGACTTTTCTGTTTTGGTCCCAACCAAATGCCAAGGAATTTGGCCTAGTCCTTTTATCAATTTCATTAACCATGATATTCTCTATTCCAGCTTGAACCCTTCTAGGATCTTGAGAATTTCAGTTGATGGTAAGAAGAATTGACTTTGTTATAATAATTTGTGAGTCATTTGCTATGTAGAACTTTTTTGCTTCTTCCAAAATACTTTCCAAGTCTTTCTTGAATTTGGCAATCCATGTTATATCATCCATATAAGTTATTACTGCCTGTCATAGAGAAAGCTTGACCTTCTCCTCAGGTTTATGGAAG